GAGTACAATGCATTTCACCGCAGGGGGCTTTAAGGGCTCCCAGAGGAGTGAGAAAGGCCTGGGACTGGCTGAGAAAGTACCCTAGGAACACCCCCCCATCTCCCCCATTTCCCCCCCCACACCCCCCTCTGCCCATCCTCAAGCTTCAGGGCTGGCTTTCGCCAAGGTCACAGGCCTGCCTGGCCAGAGAGGGCTACCTGTCCTGGTTCTGCCAAGCCAAGCAAGTGTCGAGTGCTCCATCTCTCCCTGGGCCTCCTTTGTAAGATGGTGATGGGGCCAGGCATCTCCTAGTCTAGGATCCCAAGGACTGGGTGCCCAGAGGCGAGAGAGCAGCTGGGCTGCATAGATTCCCTGCAGTGATCAATCCAGAATTCGGAGAGAGGATCCTCTGAACTGACAGCCAACATGGGAACCGAGCTGAAGAAAGCACAGTCTATTTATGGCTGAGAAACTCCTGGAAGAAGCGGTTGTTTCCTGCCTGGTTTCCCTAGATGTTCTGCTCTCTGCACACCTCCGTCTCCACGGACGCAGAAATGACACCTTCAATGGGAGCTGGGAAGGAGGGAGCTCCCAGGGGAGAGAGGGGAACAGCAACTGGCTCCCTTGATGCCTATAAGCAGCACCCCCGCCCCTGTCCCGTGGCCATAGTTCCACAGAAATGACTCAAAGTCACTCCCCACCGAGGTCCCAGTGTGAATCCAAGTCCGGAAGAACCCTGCCCCAGGCACCTCCTCCTGCCCACCCCTCCCAGTCGCCTGTCTTTCTAGAAAGGAGCTTGCCGCTCTGATGTTGTGGGATGGCATTGCTGACGTTAAACGCATACTGCTAGGGGGAAATAGTCCAAGCGCTGTACATATGCTGGGACAGGGCAGAGCCTAGTAGCCGCCACCCCAAACTCTCCTGGAAAACTGTTTCCACACACCTCTCACTTCCTCTCCTTCCGAATTGTGCTTCCTTCTTTTTTGTAAAGCAGAAGCACGCCCATGGCAAAGCCCGCCAGGCTGGTAGCTTTTCGCAGCCCTTCACATGGCACGTGCACACAAGAATGAAATTCGTTGTTCTGAGAGCGCGACGTTACCTATTTATTTTCTCATGTAAGTTATTTATGCAAATGTTTTTCTGGTAGAGGACGACCATGGTCATGTTGCTTTACAAACTCACGGGCTGTTCTTTCAGACTCCACAGGCATTGTTAATAAAGACAATGGGTCATTACAGAGAGGATGCCGTCTCATTTTGTCAATCGCACACGCTGTCCTGTCTGTCAAAGTTAACACCCTTCTCCCGCTCACCGCAGCCTCAGCTCTGGAGGCACCTGTGACGGGCCCTGTAGTAACCCTGGGGACAGTACTGTCCTTCCTTTGAAAAGTCACGTTGGCCTTTTCCTCTTGAAAGGCAGGCTCCCCTGGAATGATCCCATCTTGGTCCCCTTCTAGCACCCGCCCACCATACTGCCTTCCCCAAACACC